CCACAAGTTCACGAAATGCTATACACTTAGGATATTCATTCATATTTAGGGTAATCAAAAGATGTAGAAAGTCTGGTGAGTAATTGTTCACTAGAAAGTTCACGAAATTGTATACGACGACGTATAATTAAAGGACAAAGGTTAATGAAGATAATTAATAGATAAATGTTAATTAAGATGTTCGTTGTTTCGAAGATGGCAAAGAATGTATACATCTGCGTCACTGTGACCAGTTTTCAACCATATCACCCAATATCCAAACATTTACTTCCGCTGCAGCCAGATAGCCTGAATATTCAGCAGTTAGAGTCTTCATGGACTGGTGTCGCATTTGACTCGGCCACCAATCTAATCCTACTGTGGCTAACAGGATGTGTCGACGTAGGTGTTAGCTCATCGTAAGCTACCTAAACCACTGTAGATTTACAACTTCATCGACTGATTTACTTTCCTCTACGAAGACAAGTATAGTTGAAATCCTGTCACCTCCTCATATCTTCGACTTCCAGTTGTACCAGACAAAGTGGATTGCGTCGCGGTGTACCGGCCGTTCTTTGTGTGGTCAAATATCTCACCGATAGCACGAGTGGAGTAAGGTAGCCAATACAAAACGGGCGTTTTGAATCCGAGTTGAAATTCCGCCAACAAACAACACATTCACGCGATCCAAATACCTTAGCGAAATGGTTGAATGCCCTGATCATTCACTCGCTAGCCTTAAACGAGGAGTATCAATCCTGAAGCATTATTCTATACTTGGCAATTTTCTAGTCAACGCATTCAAAAGGCTGCATAACACGACAATGTTATCTGAGTACTTCAAGTCAACCGAGGGAATAAGTCAATCCATGAGAAGTCTGAGATGCATGAGGTGAAATCCACCATAACATCTACTACACAGCTAAGTTGGAATGGTGAAAGTGAGCATCTTAGGCACACGCAAGCTCGACGGTCTTACTTTACGCTACAAATCTCCATTAAGCCCTTACACTGCTGCATGACTTCGAGTAGTGAGTCTCGGTAAGCCTACTGCAGCTGCTCAATATTGCTTTCAGCGTCAGATTCCCAATATTTCTTCAACTGATTTGAGTAGGTGACGGAAACTACTGTGGAGTCAGCCAATCGATAAATCTTTCCAAACCGTCATTTGATAATATATTCATAACAAAGGATAGTAACCGGAAAAAATTTCTCTCTGCCCCCGATCATGATCACTATAATTTTAAAGTAGATTTGTACATTATTTCGTTAATTTAAGGAACATTCACATTCATTCCACATTTTCATTCAGCTTGGTAACTAGTTTTTCTAGTGTCAAATCAATTTTGTAGAGATTTTTCCAGAGTGACTGAGATGCAGCCGGAGAGGGAGAGAGAGAGGACGTGCAAACAAGCATACATACTGAACAGGCAGCAACAACTTTAGCACAACACCACAGGGAAGCAATAATAAATAAACCTTGACAATTCATTGCTACGATTCTCAGTCATTCAGGAGAGAAAGTGAAAGATAAGAAGTGTAGATAATATTTCCGAATTGTGGTGGTGGTAGTAGTGGGTAGTCGATGATGAGATGGATAGGCAGGATGACTGTGAACTGGAAGGGAAGGAGAATTTATATTTTATGCAAAACCCACTCTATTGTGCTTGAACATGATGGGTAGAGGGAGAAGACAGAAAATTGATTAATGACTAAAATTGTATGTGCCGGTGTGTTGCTATCATCATCATGATTAGTATCCTGTGGACAAGCTACCTACCTTCCTTGTATTTAAGGTTCACACAATCTTAATCAGTTTTACAGATTTGTTTGTCTGCTATCTACTTGACATGTACACCATTGTAAGAATGTTTCACATCCTGTTTTGTGTGTGTGTGTGTGGGGGGGTCGGTGGGTGCTGCATAGCGCTTGTCTGTAACCTTGGTCACTTTAAGTGTTATAGTGTGTGAGGAAAGGAGCATTGGTGTATCGAAATCGTAAATGGATTTGGGCTAGTAACTAAATCTCTGATTAGTCAGAATCATCAATTGTCAAAATTCACAAATAAAATGAATGTAAAGCAACAAAACTGTTTGACTTGAACACACATAAAGAAGAGAAAAGGATGTGACAGACAGTTTGTGTTCTAAAACTGTTATTTACCTTAGCTATTGAAGACTGACCTTGAAGACGGATAAAACACATGCAGTTGGTGGTGCATGGTACAGCACGGGAGCTTTGTTTGACCTAGTTCCCGCAAATAGTGAAATTCATCAACAAGGTGGCAGGTCTGTAACGTTTAACTGTTATAGCACCTCAGAGGAGGGAGGATGCAGTATACTTGGGTCGACTATTTATATTTGTTGTAAAAGGTATTTTGCAAAAATGGTTATTTTGTAGCATCGTTTTTAGAAAACAGCCTTTCCTTACTGCTCAGTGCTTTATTACTCAACAGAAACAGTCATTTAGGTGTAACTGTACCTCTGCTTTTCTAGCCCTGCTGTGTTATTGATGTACTGTTCCTAGATGGAAGCTCACAGGTAACAAACATGAAGAAACTAAGTGTAAAAGGATAGTGAATATCGCTTGTACTCAGTTCAGTCGGTACGAGAAATTAGAGTTGAGTGAAGCTAATATTTTGTCAAAGATGCATGCGAGAGTGTGAGAGATAAATTTGCAGTAAAATCAAACCATGCGGTGTAATTAAAAAAAATTACTGGCAGTCAAAGCACGAAACCAGTACTTCTTCACGAACTCGAACTTACATTATCATGTCGTAAAGTAGTATCAGGTGTTGCCACTGGTTTCTTCTGACGATAACTAGAACAAATGGACCACTGAGTCAGTGAAGAGTAGCTATTGTCATCGACCTGACTGAAGGAAGATTTTGTTACCCTAACAGTTCAAACCCACCAACAGTAATGTGTCGGAAATACTATTGTTATTATCACTACTAATCAAGAGTTCGAAGAAAGGCGTGACATAGCCCTGGGTTAATTAACAATAATTACAGATTTAAAAATAAGAATTAGAAAAATGAAGATACGAATTGCTGATGTCCGTTCACTTTATGACCAGTATCTACTGAATGTTCAAGCATTGGAATTCTTATTGGCTTTCCGTGTCGTTTCCTCAACCACAGTCGATGACGTTCAGATATTCTACTATGGACTCACTTAATTGTAGAATCACATCTACAGGAACCGTTGGGCTGACAAATGAACACGGAAAAGATGGAATCACTAAGTCAATCATCACACCTTGAAATTACGATTGACCAACTGTAGAAGATCACACAAAATGTTACAGCACTGAATATTCCTTGAAAACCTCTTCCTAAAAGTAGCTCACCAATCTCTGATAACACCCTCTTCAACTTCAAATTTCAGTAGAATATGTTTTTTTCAGACTGTTATCACTCATAGTGTAGCTTCCCTCTGATTCACGAGCATCGTCAGGAATATTTTTCTATGGTAATTATCTAACTGATCTTCAGACTGAATTCAAACTAGGTAGTTTAGTGGTGATGCATGCGGCTGCAGCAACGATCATTTCTGGGATGTTAAAGAGAAGCGCTAACTTCTTTGTAGCCATCAGTACACTATGTTGACACTCGCCAGCAATTGTGAAATCTCGATTAGAAACATTTTCCTCAAAAAGTTCTTGATAGATATGGCTAAACTTGTCAACCATTAAATCTCCCTGGAAATTAGTCTTACTCCTGGTACTGTTTAGTAGTTACTGGCAGATGAATTAAGGATGTGCACTTTTCCACATTCAAGTCTCAAAAGTGAGAAATTTCAGGCTTCAAAACAAACCTCACTGTGTTGAAAAAAAGGTGATCACTGAAACTTAGACGTCCGATGGATAAGGTACTCCTATTTGAAAAGATGGATTTTGAGTTCTTGTTTGAGTAGGAACACAATTACTAGCTGGGATGTAGACATATTCAGCTGATTAATCCTAACTACGATCCCACCGATAGCCATTGTCAAATATTAAATATGCGAAATGTTGACTTAAGTGTATTTTCAAGAGATCAACAATGTTGTTTTGCGAATTTAAGTGGTTGTTATGCATTGCAGGAATCAGGGAATTAAAAATGGCGTATATTTATTAGTAGAGAGATGTAAAGGCCAATCGAAATAAGGCTGGTGGTGACTGGAAGGAACTGAGTAATGTGAAAGACCTGAAAGTGAACCAGACTTCCTAGATTTTCCTCTGTGAAAGGCTGTTTCTCCTTGAAGCCCATTCAAAAGAAGTTCTATCAATTCATATAATCTTGTCACCCTGAGTGGTGAGCAGGAAATATCTGATGCAGATCGGTCAGACAAGGCTTTTTTATGATATTTGATTTAGGTTTGGTCTTAGGGGCACGATTGCTTGTACGACGATATGGTGGAGTGATGGAATATGTTATTTCTAGGGTAAATTATTTTAGCCCGGTAAGACAAAAGGAGAGCAGTATTACATGAGCTGTTGTTTATCCTCAGGAATCATTCCGATACAGTTAGCATTTCAGCTTCTCCTTCTGAAACAAAAATTATTCTTTAGAAGTTTGGAGGTCGAACTAATTGCTTTCAGTTCGATAATACCATCCAATGTAGCTAGAATTAACCATACCAATAAGTTAATTAAACTATCCGTCAATATAGCAGTTGGGATCTGATTGCCAAAAGCTTAATATTTAGAAGTATCCAAATTTATGAGTGAGTGATCCAATGGTTGTCCGACTGACTTAATTTGAAATTCATCAGAAATATATTCATAATTAAAAGATGAAAACAGAATGATTTCGTCAATACGCATATGTTTTGGCTTCATACGCTTATCTCAATTTGTCTTGAAAAATAATAATCATTTCTAACCGCTGATGTCATTTAAAATTTTAGTCACAATAGGAATGACTCAGTATCGGCCGGATAGTGTAATCTTGCCAAAAAAAAACACATTTAAAATAATCGAAAGTATCCTGTGAAAAACCACTTTTAATATAAATTTCATTTCTTGTTTATTTCTAGAGTGTTCTAATAGGCGATGATCAAGGCACAGTGCATGTATACCATTTGTCTAATCCCCCAGACTCACCAGTCAAAGTGTCAGAACAGGTAATGCTTTTGGAATTTTTGCTCATGAGTAAAATCAAGTTTTTACTGCTAAGGGTTTAGCTTATTTTCACATCAAACAAATATTTGAATCTGCCAAGTGAGACAATAAAAACACAACATGAACACAGTACTATGCTGGATTATTTTCAAATGTAAATAAAGCCAAACCATGGCCTTTAATCTAACCCCCTAACCATAACCTACTGACATGAAGGGAATTGTCGCACCGAGTTCTCTTACAAAGCAAGACATTTGTGAGTGGTTGCTTTGTTCAAAACTAGTGCTAAATCTACCACGTACAAGAAGCAACGCAATACAAGATATCAGAGGTAGCTATTGTCGGATCAGCGCCAAGATATCCAATGAAAAGCGGCTACAACAGTTGCTTACGGTATAAGACCTTGCTGACAGAAACACTTCTCAACTCCTTCCTTCCAAACCTTCTGCAATAGTGGTGTGAGCATGTCCGCTGTTGTCCCTGCGTCTGTTCTCAGTGCTTCTGGTGGAATTCCATCTGGTCCTGCTGCTTTCCCACATTTCAGTAGCTTTGTGGCGTTCAGGACTTCTGCTTTTGTTGGAGGGCCTGTGTTCACTGGTAGTTCTGTGGCTGGGCTGCTGGTGGTATTTCTGGACGAAGTGCAGATGATGGTCGATTCAAGAGCCTTTTGAAGTGGTCAGCCCATCGTTTCCTTTGTTTCTCCTCTTTGATGGTAACTAGCTTTCCTTCACTATATTTCATTGGTTTCGTCTGTGTCGATCTCTTCCCCCCCAGATGGTAACCTGTTCTGCTTCACTTACCAGTGTGTCGTGGAAGTGTCTTTTGTCTTTCCGCGCACTCGTTCTCACTTCTTTGTCCAGTGTTTTATACGTTGTGCTCAGTTCTTCTTTTCGTTGTGCATGCTTGCACTGGTTCGTCTTCTGCTTCACCATCTTCCGCTCCCTGCTCTATCAGCTTCCATGTATCCATCGAGATCCACTTCTTGGCTTGCTTCTTCTTCTTCCTTCGTTACACGGTTATGCAGGTTTGCTTCCACGTCGCTTCCACAAAGTTCCGGTGTTCTTCCACACAGGTTTCTTCGGGGATGTTGCTCAATGTCTCCCGTTTTGTTCTGATGACTGATGTGAAGATGTCCTTTGTAGTTTCGTGCTTCAGTTTCTGTTCTGGGTGTTGAACTTGAACTGTGGTCTGTCACCAACTTCTCTGAAGGCTTTCAACTTGATTTGGAAGGCTCCTTGCACTAGATAGTGCATGGTTTGAATCACCTGCATCTGCTCGCCTTCTTGATCTGATCTTGTTTCCAGTAGGCTGCTTCACCATCTGCACTTTCTTCACATTCGGATGAAGTCGGTCTGATTTTTAGTGTGTCCTGGCATCTGGTGGATTCCATGTCGCTTTGTGAATATCCTTGTGTTTGTACACACTGCCTGACTCCAATCAATAAATCGTTGAATGCGCAGAAGTCTACAAACAGTTCTCCGTTCCCATTCATCATTTCACCGAGTGCTTCTCGACCCATGATGAGTTCTCTTCCTGAGTTGTCTGCTCCCAGTTTGGCATTCATGTCACCCATCAGAATGAATTTTGATGTCGCCATCTGTGGTGGGTGGGGTCTTGTCCAGTACTGATTGCAGTTGTCTGTAGAATTCCTCCTTCTTCTCTTCATCTGAATTATGTGTAGGTGCGTAGCGTAGCGTAGCATTGTATGATTGTAACTTTCCTTCATTTTGAGTTGAATCCATCTTGTTGTTATGATCCTGGAGAAGACTGATTCCCACTGCATGAGAGCCTTCGATGATCCTGGAGACATCATGATAGCCACTCGGAAACTCAGTGTGCTCATGGTTGTCGTCTGGGTGACAATATCGGAGTAGATTACTGACTCTCCACTTGACAGTTGGGAGAGTCCACTTCCATTCCACCTGCTTTCGTGGATTCCAAGCACTTCCATGTCATACCTCCTCATCTCTTTTGCAATCTGGGTAGCCTTGCCAGCCAGCGTCAAATGTGGTGGGGACCCTCCATGTCCGTATGCTTACTTTTGCTCTCATCGAGAGAAGAGAAGGCACATCGGCCGACTGGCTTCGCGAAGGCTTTCACCAACCAGCGTCATTTCGTCTCTCCGATTCCAACGAGGGAGAAGTTTGTTTTTATTTTTTATATTTAGTCTGTGCTTTGAAGTTTCTTTAGTGACCGGATTGATTTTCCGGGGTAGGGTTGCTAGCCCTATGCGCAACCTTCCCTGTTTATCCGAGCTTAGGACCGGCTAGTAACCAGTGAACTAGTTAACCAGGCCAGGTTGGTTATTTAGTTTCTAGAGTTAAAATGCTCTCAGGGGTAGACTGGAGCGGATTTCAGTCTCCAGAGATAAGCACGGTTTGTCAAATGAACATTTTCTAGAGGCAGGGTACTGGTTTTAATCATATGATTAGTAGTCTAATCAGCTGATTTCTTTCGGTTGAAATATTTAGTGGTGTTCTGATTATTCCGTATGTAATTTGGTTAATTCCATTAGACTTAAGCACTTGACATCAAAGTGGGAAAGATGACCTAATATGTTAAGGTAGCTTTGTTGTATTTTGTTCTCTGCGAGATTGCAGAATTCCTGAACAGCTATTCAGGAATGCATATATATATATATAATGAAATGGGATCACGTGTATCCAACATCCTCTTACGCGTAATGTACTTGATATGGGTATACTATCTAAAATAGTATTACAGAAATACAAGTCATATCCGGTACATCTCTCCGTTGCATGACTTGAATTTTCCGCAGCTTGTGAATCGCTAAAATATCACTAAATATATGTCTAACATCAATAGAAACAACTGAACCAGCTTCTCCAATAGCTATCAACGGAAAGCCGGAAGAAATTGTAATCAGATACGAAAATTAGTTCCAGTAGTAAGCTGTAGTGGGCGTATTGATGGATTCACATGTGAACTTACCACCGGAAACCAGATTTCGAATCTAGATAGGCTTTAGATTGAAGGTAACTGTTTACCGCCGTAAAACTGACTGGTATATTCTCCTTTTTATGTAGCAAGCATAGAAAACAAGCAGGCGCTTCAGCCTAGAATTGTTAAACGACTTCCATCTTCTCACCGATACTGTGTGAGGATGACACGAAATTGATAAAAAGGTCATTTACACACAAATTTGGTATGGTTCATCAGCCCATCATTCTCAATGCAGTGGACCGGAGATGAGCGTCTTCATTCCCACTAGGGAGAAATTTCTCCAAAGCGGATTTTTCAAAATGCTTGTTGAGGGAAACGCATATGAAAGTTCTTGCAGCAATGTTTCAATATAAATTTCAAACTGAGACACTGAAAGTTTCTGAAAATGATTTTTTATAGTTTATACTACTTGTTTTGATGAAGTAGTAAGCCTACGGTAATTTTATTGGAAGCAGATGTTGTAAATTAGCCCCGGTTTCATGAGTTCACAATATCTTGTTCTCATACTCTTCTCCAGGTATTTCAACTCAACCAATTTCTCAACACCTGTTTTAGTAACCTCCAGTGATATAATGAAAATATTACGAAGACTTTTTTCTCGTTAAAATGTTAACTGATCCATTTTGAAATTATTTCGATAAACTGCATGCCGGTAAGCCTGGTGACAGTTTATTCAGTGATGAAAATAAATGTATTAGACTACATATGAAGCTTCCTTTTATTTATCAAAGCAATAAGGATTTTATCCAAAAAAGTGTCTCATAAACCATATTCATCTCGAAAAGTGACTGCGAGAAGTAGTCTGTAGTTTTGGAAAAAGGGAAACCATCCTAATTTTAATTCTTCAGTCATTCACAGATGATTATTTTTACACACGTTTGTTTTCACTGGGGTGAGGTAAGCTATATCAGACAGTTACAAGAAATTTTCATGAAACCCTTCTCACTCAGGATTTGTGTCTGTTGACAGGTATTCCGGCAGCCTTAAGTAAGGACATAACCTTAGAAACCTGAAGCAGCGTAAGCTAGAGAAGCGTTTAGAAACGTTATTACCAAGCTATATGGGCTGTGACTCAGCTTATCTAGGACTGGATTAGAAACACTGAACAAAAAGGGTAGATAAGAATCTAAAATAAAAGACGGATTGAGTGAAGAAATACTTCTTCCCAAGTGAGTTTTCATCATCTGATCAACTCTAATATATAGGCTTTACATTAAATAACATGATACCATCCAGTAATGGTGAGTTAATTAACTAAGAATACTAGTTTTAATAGGTTTAATAGCGTTCATCTAACCATCATCTTCACAATGAAAGAAGAACGAAATGACTGCATTCGTTTTCTACATGTCTAGTAAGAAGATCAGATGGAATGATAAAAAAGAGAAAATACAGAAAACCATCATAGACTGATCATTACGCTCAGTCTCATAGCTCTGTACCCCTCAGATATAGACGAAATATAGTAAAGTGTTTGATTCGTCCCGCAAAGTTATTTGCTGTGATGACACCATTGAAGAGGAACTTGACATTACCCATAGGCATTTTAGGATTTTAGTATTGCATATCCAATCCAATTCATGACCATGTTCATAAATCAGAGGGAAGCTACACTATGAGTGATAACAGTCTGAAAAAAACATATTCTACTGAAATTTGAAGTTGAAGAGGGTGTTATCAGAGATTGGTGAGCTACTTTTAGGAAGAGGTTTTCAAGGAATATTCAGTGCTGTAACATTTTGTGTGATCTTCTACAGTTGGTCAATCGTAATTTCAAGGTGTGATGATTGACTTAGTGATTCCATCTTTTCCGTGTTCATTTGTCAGCCCAACGGTTCCTGTAGATGTGATTCTACAATTAAGTGAGTCCATAGTAGAATATCTGAACGTCATCGACTGTGGTTGAGGAAACGACACGGAAAGCCAATAAGAATTCCAATGCTTGAACATTCAGTAGATACTGGTCATAATGTGAGTAGAAGCTAGGCTTTTATAGTTATCCACCGAATGCCATTCAGTCTTTGGTTTAGTTTGCATATTCGCTTGCTACACACGACAGGGCTATATCTATTCTCATCGACAAACCAAATCTGTGTATTCAGAAGCAGTTTGTACAATCTCTGTCATTATTTTAACCATCAAGGTGGACTAGCGTCAAACTTCATTTCGTTTCATTTTTCCACCTGTTGGACTAGAATTTATTTACTAACATAGGACTGTCACCCCTGTTCAGGTCATATTACCTATTTCCTTAATTTTTCGTCTCCCTATTATTGCATAGTTCTGATAACATTATCCCCCGACCTCAAGCTCTCCATTATCATGCTAGTTTACACTTCTAGGAATCATACGAAATTACTTTACTTATTAATTTCCATCTTTGTTTCTCTAATTGCTAGTTTTGTAAATAACTTCGTGTTCGTAATTATTCGAGTTAATCGACTTACTACCACTCAATGGTATTATGTTATTAATATACTAGCGTACAGCGGATGACAAAGACCTAACTGAAATATTTTTCCTTTCAGTCCGTCTTTTGTTTTACGTATCTAAATCAAAATAGATTTTTTTCATCAGAATAAAATGAGCCAAATTTGTTTCATGCCTTCTCCTTTCCGTAAACCGACACTATTCGACTTCATTTAGGTGCTGCAATGAAATTATTAACCACTAGAAGGTGGACAAAATTAGCGAATGTCTATCAGGAACTAACCATCTACCAAATGTCCTTGAAATAGTCATTAAGGACACCTAAATGTTGAATACACATTAGGAAGTAAGGAAGTGGCTATAAAGAATAGCTTTGATGAACTTTTTCTTTCTTCCACGGTTAGGGAATTGTTGATGGCATACCTAAGCACCGTTCATCAGTAATGTTTCGACTAACAATATTCAAGCAGTTCCACTAGTTGTACAAGGCGATTTGGCACCGCTGGTATCCAGCATGTTGCCGTGTAAGCTTAATATGACACTAGATTAAAAATATTACAATAAGTGAAGAGATCAATTAAAATTATCTGCAAAATTACTCATTTCATACACTAGTTGAGAGAAATAACGACTACTAACGAGTCAAACCATATAAAGCTTGCGTGACAACATCCTGAATACAGCATTGGTGATTTGGTAATTTTTTGGTTTCGAGCCATTATTTATTATATTCGCTATCATGTGATTACAAAGAGTCGAAGAATAGAAGTCACAGGTCATACAGTAAAATAGTTAGAAATTTAATCATGTATAAATCGATGAGGAGATAGAGTGGTCTACAATAGAAATTTTGACTAACAAAACCAAATAGTTCCATGACCTGACGAAAATGTACAAGAATTAAATCAAACTCATTTCCAAAGGACTAAAAAGCAGATATGCAGATAAATAAGATCAAACTGTATTCTCTAAGGCAGTAAAAGGTTGTGAGGGTGTAACTAGAAGAAACGACTTTCCAGGACTGTCTGATTTTTATTTGATCCGATTAGTACCACTAAGGTTTCTTTTTCCAGCTATGTGCGGGAAAGGTTGTCTCTAATGTGCAACGAATTTCTTATGAAAATCTTCTGTGATACAATATTTTTGATATTTTAGTACAAGTTTGTGATTTAGTCACCAATTTATCTCTGTCTCTGCCTCCCCTCCCATCTGCTCAAATGTATTAAATGTATCGATCCGATGCATTATTGAACCAGTACTGTCGTAGTTATGCATATTTTGTGACTAAGAATTCTGCAACCTTTCTACTTATTTGTGATTATGGTGTCAGAAATTCATTATTAGTATTATTATAATTGTTTTCCATTTGACCGGCTACAAAATTCATCTTCTTACATCGAAATTTCAACGTTGTATAATGCAAGGTAAGTCTGCTTGACAATCCTGTATATTAAGCTGTCCTACAAAATGCAACAGATCCCAGATGGTCCATTATTCTAGTCACTTTAGATGCATCAAGGACATTGTTTATCTACAACATAACTGAATTCATCAGATCCTCAAATACAAAGTCTGGCAGCATCTTCAGAAAACGATACGAGAGCATGTTTGTAAGCTATTTCAGTGGATTTATGCGAACAGTCATAGGCAACATAAGAACCGCACCATTCAAAAAGAAGTTTCTGCAACTTCTGAGAATATAAGTGTTTTTATGCAGATATGTAATCCTTTTAAGCCTACAACAATGACAAAACACAAATGGACATTGAATACTTCCAATTCACAACTACTAGGAAAAACTGATAACAATGAGTCTAGTTAATTATCAGTGATTGGCACCCAACAACAGGGATTTCAATAGACCAAGTATAGTTCCGTCATTCATGCTACAAATACCACTCATGCAAACAGAATGAGACACAGACATTCCAACTACTTCCACACCTTCGTCACTTAGCGCGCATATCACCACTCGACTTCATGAATATCATAAAACTATCATTAACCATCTTAGGAATGCAAGGTACACATGAAGTATGATCACCAACTGATTGTTTCAAAAATACGCTCACATGTGTTTGATCTTAAACTAAAACAGCTTTCGAATAACCAGGGTTACAAGTCTGGCTGCTTTTTGTCTGATTACAGAACCACTTGATACTTCTTTCGTAACAGCCATATATGACTGCAGGTATCTAGAACATTCAACACAGATTGATTAAAATTACATCCAGATTTCAGAGGATCCCTTGACCAAGCAAGACGACATAGCCTTTCAGGACGAACAGAATTTTCAAGCACACTGGGATCAGGATGAGAACTGTTAAGCTGATTTCAAACAAAGAATCTAAAGAAATTGGGGAAATTTTTTCACTTAAGTAACTGGTGATCGAGCTGCACACATCATCCTCATGTTTGTAAGTAGTCTGTTGAAATACACAGATGCGATACATCAAGTAACCTGTAAACAGATTGGAATATGAATGATTGATGTCAGTGAGCATTATGTGACAAAGTCGAATAACTTTTTAGTTCAGACATATACCGAAGTTGGTGTTACAGCTAATTAGAAAGTGTAATGATTGGTGAAATTCTGAAATTAGTGTGATTGGCGATTGAGACGTTCCTGTAAAATATTAATTGAGTCTCGGAGAGTCGGTTAGATGTGTCTGACGTGGTTTGGTTAGGCAGAAATTAGGGAATTTGAAGTTAAGTTCAACTAGTGAAATCGTTCTGATTTTTGTTGCATGGTTTTCCGTGATATGAATTGCCACTTAGATCTCCACCATAATTTCATGGATGATTTCTAGCCTGCACGAAATCAAAATGGAATGCTTCATTGAATTTCCATCCTGATATCTAGCATATTTGAACTCTTTCAGTTTTTCAAGATATTCATAAGCATGCAAGGTCCGAAAGATCATTCTGGAAGAAAATCTACAGACAGTATCAATGATGTATGTTACAGCTGTACAAAGAAATTCAAATACGTGTTGACACTAGTATGTATAAGGTAAAGAATTTCACAGTGAATTTTCGAGACCAAAAGAAGCTATTTTTATGTCAGTCTGAATGCCTTAGCTCAATGCATAAAGCAATAATTCCAAAAATATATGAGGTGCTATTAGGGTTTTTAAAGCAGGTTTTCCTGCGAGACATCAATTAGAATCCGGAAACAGACAGACTTATCAATTGCTTGAATAATGAGTGGTGATACTTGGTCTGATGAAAAGCCTTCCAGATATAAACAAACTAAATTTCATGAAATCG